AACACGTAGGAACCAGCCCCTTTCGCGTCCGCCCGCTCTCGGTAAGGAAAAGGGTGAAGAATATAAAGTTCCCAAGAGAGGAGGAACAGGCTGCAGCTCTTACACATTGTCGTGGTTTGGGTTGGGCTGGCCATTAAGATGAAGGATGGACGCTCACTTTAACCTTCAGAGAAAAGAGACGGAGAGATTTATGAGTTCAAAAGAAACTAAACTACTTTAATCAAATATTAATAATAGAATAACAATAAGAAAAAGTTGATAATATTAATAAGAAATTAATGAAATGTATACAATATATACAACTCCCAGGATGAGGCTCACGTCACCAGCAGGCACTGGGAACCTGTGCGGGATGCACATCCATGGGCGTCCCCCCTCCAGGGATCTGCCCCTTCACACAGTACATGTGGGCTCCCGAAGGCATCGTTCCCGCTGCTGCACATTTTGCGGCCAACATCGTGCCTCCCGGCACATCCACGTGCATCCCTGCACAGCTCCCCTAGTTATCAGCTTGGTTGCGCGGTAAAGAAGTGACGAAACAAAGAGAAGGGGCCATTTTTCTGAAGGCTCTAACGAATTCAGGGTGGGCAACGTGGGCACCCCCCCAAATCCATGCCGGGCAGGGCTGGAGGCTGCAGGTTGGACCTGCTGTGGGGCCGGATCTGGTGCTCTCAGCCGCTTGGCATCCCTCTCCCTCCCCCTGCTAGATGTATTCAACATCACTTTTTCACAGCCCACTCCATTCAGCCCTGCGAGTCGGGTCCCACCAAAGGTCAAGCCGTGTCTCCAGAGGAACAATAACGCCCCGCACGGGGAATGCTTTACAACCCTCAGCTCCTGCAGCCGAGCTCCAGTCCCAGCTCCCGCAAGCAGCAGCGATCAGATGGTGTCACCAGGTACACCCCGGCATCCCCACGTTTGAAGGTAAGTTGAACCTCAAAGGCCGTTCGGAGTTTGCTTCTCCCCCGTTTCCCACCGTAACATCGCCCCTTTGGCCGGGGCAGCAGAAGTCCCCGACACGGGAGATGGTGGCTGCCAGCTAGACGGTTTCCAAGCTATGAAATTCTGGGCAGAATAAATTTAACACAGCAGCCGTGTTCAGGAAGGGAAAGACCAGTCAGATCTTTTGGGAACGAGGACAGCACGGTCTTTGCTGGTTTCCGGTGCTGAAATAACAAGGCAGCCCCGCTCCACCAGGTAACGCTTTCCGGCCGTCCCCAAAAGCAGCCTCACCAAAAAGATTGACGGCGACTCTTCGGAGAAACCCAAGATCCTGCTCCTCACACTGCACTAAAGATTTGTAATTTTATGCCTGTTGGGATGCTGACATTCCAACATAAATTATACAGCTCAGTGCCTCCCCGGCCGGGCCCAGCAGCAAACACAAAGAAGCCGGTGACTTTTGCGAATCTGTGCTAAAGTATCAGGAGACCTCCTGCTGCCCAGAGGGACGGGTAAAGCAGCTCGACCCAGAGCTGACCCGAGTCCCAAACAAAAATCAGATCATTTTTATTGCTCGATTATGTTTTTTCCTCTCTCTGTCCATACTGTTCTCGGTTGTTTTGCAGCTGTTTCTCAAAGCTTTAGGATGTTTACGGCGAACTGTATAAAGAACACATTAAGTGCAAACATTCAGAATCCTTTTTTTTTTTTTTTGTGTAATAAGATCGAAAAATAAGGAAAAGGGACCAATAAAATACGGCTTTCCAGGCCATGCTGTCCCACCTCTCCCAGCCAGCTGTCCTAATTATTGCAAACAGGCAACCCAGCTCAG